TCTTCTTTTAATTTATCTTTTCTCTGTACTTGGTAATTTTAAAGTCCTCTTTGTTGAGGCAAAAGAACCGTCAATGCAATCACTTGATAATTGGCTTGAATTTAATCTGTAAAGATTTTTAATTTCTTATTGGCACGCTCGCATTTATGGTATTTGCCTTCGTAAGAAAAATAAGCCAACACTTATACAAGACTTGGGGGTGGCAATTTTAATTTTAGAATCAATTTTTTTGAAATTTAAAAAAAAAATTATTTGATAAAAATAAATATTAAAAGAATATTATTTTTTAATTTTTAAAATTACTTTTTCTCCAAAAAAAATTATGAATTCTTTTATTTATTATTTTTTCAGAAATTAATTATTCTTTTTTTTTTTTCCCTTCAAAACTGAGAACAAATCCTGAGAACCAAACCAAAAATAAAGATTTGTGACAAAATGCTCGCCATCACCAGATGTATACTCAAAAGACTATTAGTAAATTATTTTCATTACGATACAAGCAATGACTCTATTTAAGAAATAAATATTTAGGATAATGGAATACAGCAGTGATTTAGACCCCCTTAAACTTCAACCCCCACCACCCCACACACACGTGGCGGGTGGTAATTGGAGGAGGAGAAAAAAAAGAAAAAGAAAAAGTGACTAATCAAAAAAGAAAGGGGGTCAAAAGGGGGTGAGGGAAAGGGGATCCCAATCTTTATTCAACGGAATATTATCTTATATATAACTTTTTTTTAATTATCTTATATGGTGCATTTGGCCAATAAAATATTACAAATGGAATAAGAAAATAACTTCTTTTTTCTTTTTTATCAGTAAAAGGAAAATTTTATTGATAGATGAAAGTACAAAGTATGGAGATACATCAATAAAAAGGAAAAAAGTGCAATTAAAATGGAATAAGAAAATAACTTTTTGAAGACAATAGATATCGTTAACACGGCGTTAGATATCATTGTAAAAGAACTTTTTGAAGGCATCCATATGTGTTTCTTGCAACCGCCATGGGATAAGAAAAAGAAAAGAGCCATCTTCATCATGACCGGGGAGGATGGATGCTTTCCCATCATATCCAATTGCTCCGGGTACCATATAAATTTCCTTTCCCCACCCAAAATCCACCCCATATAATGGTAGTCGAGTCCAATCAGTGATGCATATATTTGGATTCCCATAGAAAGGTCCTTGATTACTTCCAACAATATGAAAGTATCGAAACTTAGATAAATCTGGTTCATTTTTCAGAAAAACAAAACATGACCTTATGTACTTATCTGTCACCTTCTCTATAACTTCTCTTAACTTCTTTGCGGTATAACTTAATGGTTTCGACACAATGTCCCCTGAGGTAGGGGTTGTTACTATTGGCAAGACAGTGCAACCGAAGTACCACTTAGGCAATGGTGGTTGCAAACGGTTACGAAAATTCACAGGGATACGAATGTTAGTTAGCTGCTTGCTTTCATGCTGACGTGCCTTGCACGCACACCTCCACATATGAGCAGTAACACTCTCATACCTTGTAAAGGCGCGGTTAGTACTGGTGTCGCTATTTCGATACTCATTAGCCTTGTTCTTCGACTTGTTGATTTGTTCTTTGTTTAGTTTTAGCATAGCCACGACGGTCTTCTTGTTTCGCTCCTCTGTGTTGTTCGAATGGCCTATTAAGAGCGGTGGTGGGTTGAAATCCGAGATATCAAAGCTTGTTTTTGGCAAAGAATCCTCAAGTTGTAAGATTGTTCGATCAAGAAATGGGAAGTTCTCTGGTTTTTTGCCGTGAGCGATTCTGGCCCACTTGCAGATGAAGTGAGCTGCACATTCACCATCAACTAGGATATGTGATATACCCAAGCCAAGACTAAATCCACCACAGCTAAACTTGGTTACTTGAACCAAAAGCAATGGCAGTTCATGAATTGGTCTGTCATAGTCCACTGATGGTATGAGTGCTCTAGTCTTTGAACTCGACAGAAGTCCCCAAAGTTATCAATTTTGGCTTCGGATTCAGTTTCGAGGAACTGGGCACCATGGAGTTGCAGTTGATCTTGTTGAAAATATTATAGGAAGTTCTATTAGAATAAATATTATAACGAGAGTAAATTACACCATTATCCCCTACAACTTGACGCGTTAATCCTTATAATTTTAATTTGCTTAATTTTAGGAGTACTTTTTCATAAATTCTTTTTCACTTACTTATATTTCATTTAGTTCACATTATTTTCTTATATTCCAATAAGTCCTATGAGTGATATAGTTATCAAAATATCCCTAATAATATTCATATTTACAATGTGAATGTTTCGTGATGTGAATGTTTACACCGTCGATTTAAATGTTCACATCGTCAACGTAAATGTTCACATCATCAATGTGAACGCTAACATGTCAATATGAATATTCATATTATAAAATATGAAAGCTTACATCACTAACTTGCTAACCGTTCAAAAAATATTTGTAAGGGTAGAAATGTCCATAAAATACTTTAAATATGAAAATTAGGATTTTGTAGTTCAAATGTTCAAATAATATGACTTATTGGAATACAAGAACATCTTATAGGCTAATTGGGATACAAACACTTGAAAAATGATTTTCTAATAAATTTCTCTTAATTTTAACTTAGAATTTTTTATTTTGTCTCAAATTGCTCTAATTGATTTCAATTGTTAACATTTATTTTTATGACAAATGAGTGGTATGTTTCATGCGCAAAATTATAAACTTGATCAATTCAGTAACTTAATCCCAACTAACTTAGTGATAATATTTCATCAAAAACCTTAATGGTGTTATCTATTGGTCGAAATAAATGCAAAATCCAAAACTAAGGATTAAAATTGAACCAATTGAGAGTTTAGGAACCAAAATAACATAAGTGGCAAAATGTTGGGATTATTGGTATAATTTACCCTTATAACAGTGGGTTACTTATATTTTGGTTGCCCAAAGGATGAGTCTTTTCTTGTTTTGGTCCCACACCATTTAAATTGTGTCAATTTTAGTTCTCAATATATAAAAATATTTCAATTTTGTCCTCGATATTTAAATTATGTCAATTTGATTCACAATATATACAAAGTATTTCAATTTAGTTCCTCAATCTAACTTTGTTAATAAACGCATTGGGGGACCAAATTAAAACACTTTTTAAAAATATTTCAATATGATCCCCAATGTATACTATTTTCTTTCTTTCTCTTAAAAAAAATTGAAAAGAAAATAATTAGTTTAACTCGTGACATACAGGCTTAGAACCCCCAATAGAGACTAGTACAATTCAATTCAACATTTTCTTCGATTGGGTTTGATTGTGTTTGTAACGCCCTCAACATAATAACATTAAACCCATCCATATAGAGACATGCATTGATACATAAAAGGTCCACATTCATCTATTCATCAGAGTATTTCATTACAAAAGTATTACATGTTTACAATAAAAGCAAATGCCCTACGGGCTTACAGTTTTCCAAGTTAACACTTGGTTACAAAAGAGAGTGCTAACTTAATTACACATTAAGTCCTTGGCTTGAATTTATATGTAATACAATCCAAGAAAATAAGGCAACAAAAGTATGTCTGCCTCTAGCCTCCCAAGCTGTGTCCTCAGAAGTGGCATGCTACCTGTACCTGAAAATAATGTTCCCATATAGGATGAGCCACAGCCCAGTAGAAATATACTAAACCGACTATGAACAGTGCCTAAAAGATTAGCAACTGATAGATGGTCAAAAATTACACTTCCATTTACATCTTATTACAATTCCATGACAGTCAAGTCTATGTTACAATTCACTTTCCATTTCTTATTCAACTTTGAGTTTGAAAACAAAACAGGGCTCAGTACTCTGGCCAAAACATTTTGATGAGATTATAGTTCATCACTAGAACACTTTCAAAATTCACGGTGGATACACATTTTGGTGTTGTATCAATAACACATAAACTACTTCCATACTTCACAAACGATGATGATATACATTTTAGTGCTATATCAAATCAAACAAACTTTTCAATAGATAAGCATATGAGCTATATCACTACTACAGAGCTTACTAACCACGGACAAGAACCACTGGCATGCCCCCTCTGTCCACACCTGGAACAACTACAAACTTCCCCAACTGGGGCTTGGGAACTCGACTCTACTGAGGCCCTAGCAATCTGGCCTGCTAGTCTCCCAAAACGATACTGTTCCTGCCCAGTCGAATGAAACTGAGCCTGGCTAGGTTGCGAAACCCCTAAAGGAGCCCCCGGCTGGGTACAAAAACGTCGAATATGAGCTCAAATATGACATGTTAGAGGTCCCAAAGTGCAAGGCTAGCAAAGCCAAATGCACTATAGCTATGCAAGGCCAAGCATGCATGACTAAAACCATTCAAATCAGACCTAAAGCATGCTAAAACATAGCCAAAAATGTGCTGGAGTAGAGCATGCACATGCTAGATCAATAGGCTAAAACACCAAATACACTAGTCTAGTGAACAAAATTGCACTACAAGTGCAAGGAGCATGCAAGAAGCAACCAAACCGACACAAATTAGAGTTATTACATGGTAAATAATGGCTAAAAACATGCTTTAACTAAGCAAATTCAAAGCACAATGACATGCTACTTTTCAAGGCTACAAGTAGGATTACACTACAAGTATAAGAAGCATGCAAGAGGTGACCAAGACAGCCAAAAATAGAGTTATGATAGGTCTGAAAAGTCACAAAAATGAGCCAAAACAAAGCCTCTAAGAAGTAGAAACACATTCTCTTTTGGAGGGACATCAACACATGAAAGATTTTTTTGAGGGGGGGGGGGCCACCCCCCCCCCCCAAAAAAAAAAAAAAAAAAGAAAAAAAAAAAGCCAACCAAAAATGATAATAAACCAAGAGGAAACATGCAAAACCAAAAAAAAAAAAAAAAAGGGGGTAAAAAAAAAATTTTTTAACCCCCAAAAAAAAAAAAAAAAAAAAAAAAAAAAAACAGAGCGTTAATGTACTGTCAATCACAAGATGTGATAAAAATCTTTAAAGACAATCTTGTGGCTAAGAATAAACGAAGGAACTGAAATTTTAATCTTGAGAACAAAAGATGCAATGTCATAAAATATGACCCCTCACTGAATTTTTCTCTTCAGACTATGATTAACTGTGTGTGTGTGGGTGCGAACACAGGAGGAATAAAAGTCAAGCTCTGTGGAGTGGCACAGTATGCAAATCTTGTTGGAGTAACAATAGGATACACTATCACTACAGCTATTAGCATGGCGTAAGTATCATCATCCTCATCATCATATAACTTCATTTCATTATTGATTTTTAATATATATATGTATATATATATATGTCGTTTTAAATTTTGATCTCTCTCTCAACATATATATGTATTAGGGCTATAAAAAGATCGAATTGTTTCCACAAGCAAGGGCACAAAGTGGGTTGTCATACATCAAACAATATCTTCATGATGATATTTGGGGTGAAGCAGATAATACTCAGCCAAATACCAAACTTTCATGATCTTTCAATACTGTCCATCGTCGCTGCTATTATGTCCTTCACTTACTCTGCCATTGGCCTCGGCCTCGCCATTGCCAAAGTTGCAGGTCAATCAAATCTCTAAGTTTACATATGATTTTGCTTTACAAAATCAAAACACTAAGTATCTTATGTATTCACAACACAAGAATCAATTATTAAGTCTGATATAGAAATGGTGGGTGTTAATTTTGGTTTTTGAAGAGGGGCATCATCCGAAGACAAACCTAACAGGAATACCAATTGGAGAGGATGGAATGACAAATTCACAGAAAATATGGAACACCTTCCAAGCACTTGGTAACATCGCTTTTGCCTATGCTTTCTCTAATGTCCTCATTGAGATACAGGCAAGCTTCCCTCTACCTACGCCTATCCTACAGCTCATTTTTAATTTGCAAATCAAATGCTAATCTCAAACATAGAAAATCATTTACTTATGTCATGGTGTGTGTGTGTGTGTGTGTGTGTGTGTGTGTGTGTGTGTGATGATCTCTATATATTTTGATGGCCTTTTTTATTCACATTGTTGGTTAAAATAGTACTATGAAACAAGGGTCATCAATTTGGCACAAAGGCTAGCCAGGCCCGAATAAGGCTGGGATTGGGCCTCAGTGTTGAAGCCCAGCACAGCCTGTTGGTCAGTAAGACATGGCCTGTCGGCCTGGCCATCAGCCCAGCTCGCAAATCAGCAGAAAATATAAAAACACGGGAAAAATAATTAAAAAGCCCAAAGATAGACCTGAATTTCAACCCGTTGGACTTAACTCGCAAGTCGGCCCCTTTAACCTGTCGAAGCCAAGCCCATTGTAGAGGGCATGGGGTTAAGATTTTGGGCCTTTGGCCGGGCCAGCAGAACGAGAAGGAAAAAAGTCCATCTTACTTGGCCACCCACAGCCGGGTTTGGGCAGCAGCCCAGTCTGATGCCAATCTTTACTTTCAAATGATGTTGTAAGGACACTATCTTCATTCATCTCAATTCTCCAAGAGGATGCATATTGAGACAAAGGAATAAGAATCGAGGTCGGCATCGACAGGGCCAAATTGGACCTCAGGAACTATTTTTAAGTCTAACCCATATAAAATTCAGCCCATCCTGATCTTACAAGTTAAAATATCAATCCTAAATCCTTAGAAAAACAATCCAGACCGGGCTCGTGCCCACCCTGAAATAAAGCATGTTGGTTCTAGACTTGCAGGCCATGCATTTGCTCTAGTAGCTTGCCCCCAGTTTTGTTCTTCACTGTTTTGCATTTGATTGAAGAGAAGTTTCCCTGCATTGCAGAACACACTAAAATCTACCCCACCGGAGAATGTAGCAATGAAGAAAGCTACCTTGATTGGGATTTCAGTCAGTACCATGTTCTATATGTCATGTGGACTTGTCGGTTATGCAGCATTTGGGAACCACGCGCCAGGGAACTTTCTGACTGGATTCGGCTTCTATGAACCCTTTTGGCTTGTCGACATTGCTAACGTGTGCATTATTGTTCATCTTGTTGGAGCCTATCAGGTAAACAAACATCAAACATACTTAAAAGAGTCTATGACGCAATTTGGTTTCTACAAATCCTTCTGGCTTTCCTCCATAAAATACTGTACCTGCTGGTTCTTTTGTTAGAACAGGCACAACCCAATTCATTCGATTACTACAGGGATGAACCCAATCTGAACTATGGATCGTAAAAGAAAATACCTATTGAACTAATCACGCAAGAATAGCAGTTACAGTACCTATCAGCCAAAGAGGAATCCTTCCAGTATAGTATCGACCATTTACCCGACTTCCCTCCACATTTCATCGAGTGACCATACTAGAGACATAAACAGTCATGGATAATTTTCAGATTGGGATAAGAGAATTCCTACTATTACTATTCTCTTTCTTTCCCTTAATTTAAAGGGAAAATAATGAATAGAAAACATCTAGTTCAGCTTGTCATATATAGACTAAGAACCTCTCAGTAGAGACTAGTATGATTCAATTCAATATTTTGTTTGGGTTTGATTGTGTTGTAAATCTATAATTCAGATTCGTTATATCATTTGATGAATTGCATGGTGATATTGACTCCCAAAAAAAGTAAGTACATCTAGTCTATGAACGGATCACATTGTATAAATTGGACAAATTCGATCTAAGCTTACAAATAGGGGGCCTTCTAAAAGGATCTACTAAATTCATCGAGTTGTGCCAAAGAATAGAAACGGTATGGTATTTTATTGACTGCAACTCCTTGTCTGATGTCTATAAAATGCTGCTTTGGCTGAGGGTTTCCAAATCTATACCATTAAAAAGTATTTCAATTTGATTTCCCAATACATCTATTAAGTTAGAATGGGAGACCAACTTGAAACACTTTTTATTCATTTTTAAACATTAGTGACTAAAATGACATATTATTACTCATGTTTTTTTTTTTTTGGGGTGAATACAAAAAATGTAAATAATCCTATAACAATTAACCAAAAACAAAAAAATAAAATATTAATAAAAAAAATTAGAAAAGTTGTTTACTTGAAGGCGACCCCTAGCAAGGCGTCCAGCGAGAGGGTAGAACATGATCAATGCTTTGCTTAACGAGTCTTTTAGAGTATGTATTATTGCATTTAGAATCAACTCACCAGAATGTTGATAGAAGTAAACAGTAGGTGAATGAGTTATGGTATCAAATTGATCATATTCTGATAAATACATGAGCCTAGTTGGTGTTTCCTTGGCTGGTTTCACCATGTAAGAGGCCTTTAAGGTCACCATTGTGGGAGAAAAGAAAGAAAGGAGGAGAGATTTTCGGTTATTCAATGCTTGTGTGACATTCATGTGAAGTCTAATCCTTTAAATAGAACCAATCAAGAGATGATATTTTCAAGTAATGATATATAAATAGAATTCATACAAAATTTTGATACATAATGATGTGGGTTATTTAGATCTTTTATTTTAAAATAAAACATCCATAAAGAGGGAATCTCGGATCCAAAACGATGATCCGAACCCTTCCCAATAATAAAGATAAATTGTTTCAAAAATCAATTTCATCAGACATCACTAGACACATGAACAAATATATTTTATTTTTTAAAATGGACAACAACTATAAATTTAAATTTAAACCATCTATTATATAAAATAAAATGCGATTTGTTCATTTTTTATTGATATCCAATGAAGTTGATTTTTTATGCAGCAGTCTCCACTGCGAAATAAGCTATTTAGACAAAATGAAGGATGGATGAATGTGAAATATAAGGGAAACACATGATACACCCTCTTCACATGGTGTATACTATATGCACTTTATAACTAAAAAATAAAATTATATAATTTTATACTTTGTAAGTCATAACTAAAAATAAAAATAAAAAAATATCATAACTAAACACAACGTGAAACATAATTAAAGAAGTCACAAGTCATAACTAAAATAATATCATAACTACATAAACAAATTGGTCATAACTAAATAATAAAATGATATAATTATGGATGCATATAGTATACCTTTTTAAGGGTATGCACATTAGAATTTTTTGAAATTATACTGTATGGGGAGCAAATATCCCGGCAAGCCCGTACTCCTTTCTTCCAAGCTCCTGTCTATCCGATCAACCTGCGAGCACAACGGTGGTGAGCTACCCGGCGGTGTGTGGCTGGAAAACCCCTCCGACGATCAAGTTAGCACACACAGGGATAGAGAGAGAGAGAGAGAGAGAGAGAGGACTGAGTTTAGTGCTTAGTGTATGTCTCACCAAATGTTCATCTGTCTCAGCATGGGGGGCGCAGACTCGCTTATATACCTTCTGCGCCCCAAATCTACTCTCATTAGTCTCTCGACACGTGGTGCTGCTATCCCATCTGTCAGCACAAATCCAGCTGAACATCACCTACCCAAACTGCCAGCCCACACTACTAGGAGCTCAGCAGCTGGGATTCAGCATCTCGGCTGCCAACGGCCGTGCTGCACTTCATACCCAAGTGCTTTAATAACCGAGATCCATAACAGCCGAGCTCAGTTGCATTCCGGCAAAGCCGAGCTCGAGATTGGTCATGCCGGTTAACCAAAGACCTTCATGTCGAGCTACAGGTGCGAGCCTTCATGCCGAGCTAAAGGCGCGCGCCTTCCGACCGAGCAATGCAAGTAGCACGGTTACCACCTGTGCATGTTCAAGTAGCTCGGTCTTGGGCTTTAGCCGAGCAGCCCCATCTGGGCAAGCCCAAAGTCATCTTGGCCCAAACACACTTCGGCCTTCAACTTGCTCGGTCCTTACCATGGCCCATTTCCAGCTCATAAATTCCCTCTCAATTGCCCCTTAATTCCGTCCGCTAAAGCGTGACCGGGATTACATGATCCGACCGGGATAGATCCTTCCTCGGTGTTCGGTTTGTAAGACGACAACCGGGCTAGTTGATATGACTTGCTTCCAAACTTGCCCGGCCGACGCCTTGACTTGCCATCTTGTCTCTTCAACTCTGACGCTGCCATTAATGGGGGACACGTGTAGCGCACTGGTTGGCCTCGAGCAGCCAACCATCACGTCCGCTCGCTTTCAAATTTTTTGGCGGCCTCTTCACTTCTATATACATGCCTCATCTCACTTCGATTCATTCTTACTGATCCTCCTCCATTCCAAGCGTTCTAGAGCTCCTGTGCCTCTTGCAAGCCTCGTTCCTGCCTTTCCTTGCATTTGTGTTCGAAGAGGAAGCTCCTGCCCTCAACTGGTAAGTCCTTCGAGCCTCGTTTTTGCTATTTTCATTTGGTATTTCACATATTAGGGCACAAAATCCGAAGGTTTTAGGACATAACCCTCCCAAAACCCTCACTTGCCCCCATTCTCTTCGTTGTTCTTCGTCTTCACCGATGAACACATGAACACACAAAGATCTGGAGCGGACCGGGCTCCAGGTCGCCTTTTGACCCCAAAAAACGTTGAGACCGAGCAAATTACAAGTTTGTCAAAACCTTAGTAGAAACCGAGGTAGGCAGAGGACTTCGCCGCTCGACCGGGCTAACATCTGGTCCGCTTGAGCGACCGAGCTCCTTGGTTCGCCTTTGGGACCGGGCTCCTTTGTTTGCCTTTGCGACCGAGGTGGTTTGGCAGTCTTCATGACCGAGCTAAAGTCAAGCTCGTTTTGCATGACCGCGCTTCCACTTACACTTGCCATCCTTTTCCTGCAGAGTCCAAGGGGACCAAAGACCAAATACCGAGCAGCCATCAAACACCAGTTTGTGCCAAACCATCTCAGCCGAGCTAATCCAGCTGGCGACACATGGGGCGCTTCTGTTTCCTTGTGGACACTCCGGCTGCCTTGGCCACTTTTCGGGAAGAGTATGGTATCCTGGCCGACGTTCACCTAGAGCTCGGCAAAATTGAGACAACCTCTTGGGGCAGATTAGACCAGGGCCCCTTCACCGTGCTGTCCATCATTGAAGGAGGCCTCCACTTCCCAGTCAACCCACTGATGACCGAATTCTTGCGCCGCACCGGGCTAGCACCCACTCAAGTCTCAACCAACACTTACCGAATAATCAACGGGGTCCACGAGTTGAACAACCGGCTAGGAACTAACTTAGGTTTAGCCGAGATACTTCGCCAATACACCCTTGGGCACACGGGCGACGGCCTCGCTTATTACTTAAAAATTAGACCGGGCAAAGAAAAAATAGTGACCGGCACCCCAGACAAAGACTTACACGACGACGACTTTTTCTGGCTGTCTGGCAACTATGAAACAGCCGACATACCGGGCTGGTTCATTAGCAAGAATTTTGATGAAACATGTAAGCCGTGCTAACTTGCTCGGTCAATTGCATTTCTTCAATATTCTGTACTTAACATTTTTCTGCTTTCCTTTGCAGCAATTGAAGCCTTGCAAGCCAACTATCACTACCCCAATGAGGCTGCCATTAGAACCGTGCTGCGCTACCGCAACCGGAACTGCCACGACCTCCTCGGTTACACGCCAACATACCGGTATTCAGCTCCATGCCAGAGTAAGGTTACTGACTTTCTCCGTGCTCCGTTGCCTCCTCCAGATCCAACACTACCGGACGTGCCCCTAATCTAGTTAACCGAGGTAGAAGAGATGGCAAAGAAAAGCAGTATCAAGAACCTCCTCACAGCAACCTCCACCGAGATACCAATCATCCCTACCCACGCTCCTGCTGCCGGTCAATCCAGCGGCACCATAGTAGCCTTGGCATCTCCAGTCGCCGGGAAATCCAACCAAGACACCCGTCGGGCTGGCAAAAGGCCTCGTGCAGACCCTTTCGCTGAGCTGGTGTAGACACCCCATTTTTGACCGTCCTCAAGACTTGGACGTCACCGTTTGAACACTCGGTGATTATCCATGTTTGTGTTCGTTTGGAGTTCCCGGAGGTCTCGGCTCGCGCGCCCTGCCTCAGGATCCCCGAACTCAACTGTTTAGTGTCTGGTTTTGCACCAAACACTTGTGTTTTGCCTTGGAGGGGCAGGGTAGGGCTTGTAGACCACCCCCACCCACCACCGGCAGTGGCTAGAGGCCACCGGCTGGTTTTTGCTGTCACCGGTAATGTATATTGCATTGCCGGCCGGCACTATTTGTTGCCCGTCAGCACTATTTAGTGTCGGTCGGCACTCTTTTTGGCCAAGATGACCTTTTTGACCGGCCGACTACTGTACATCTGCTTTTGCAGATATTTTAAGACAGCTGTCTTGCTTTTTCTCCCCTCCATACACGTGTATGGAGGGACCTCCCTCTTATGAAGCTTGTCTTGTAAGCTTTACAAGACAAAAGCTTCTATATAGAGAGAGGCTCTCTCTTGTTGCTAAGGTGAGAGACACTTGAGACACTTGAGAGAGCTTAGACAGCCATTGTTAGGGTTTGAGTTCTAGGGTTAGGGTTTGATACACCTTATCTATTTTGTGCTAGTTTCGGGACTTTGGTGTTTGGGCCTCTTCACCACTGAAATCTTGAGGGGTTTCAGTGGTGGAGATGGTGT